ACAAGTTTTCTAATATTTTATATGCTTTTCAGTGTTTCAGAACTAATTGCTATTTTTCACCCATTGATCACAAAAGCATTGAACAGGTGAACACTTCTTTTGGATAGATAAATTTGTAATTGCTTGTTTGTCACTGTACCCGAGTATCCAGAATTCTGTGCTTCTTGTCTTAATTTTGGAGAAAATTCATCTAGAAATGGCTATAAAAAGGCATTTTTGTTATTCCATAGCGATAGAAACTGAAGCACAGAAGGAAGTTGATAACTTCTGAGAGCACCTTTCCTTGGAGTACAGCTCAAGACCACAAGTATCAAGAGTTCAAAGATATTACTATTTTTTTATGTATCCTGAGTATTGGAGCAATTAAAAGCTCCTCCAGTTGAAACTCCTGATTAAGGAAGGCAACCTGGGCAATGTTCAAGCAGTTTTTTCCTCAGGGCACGTGCTGCTAATAGGAGGGAAAACATTTAGAGTGTTGTTATTTTTGGCGTTGTCTGGTTTTGATGAATTTGAATTTTTCATGGATTTGGAGAATTTTTCAGGGAAGTCAGGCAGAGATGATTACTGATGAAATAGTAGCTAAGGACTACTGGGAATGTTAAAAGTTGTACTAGGTTCCACATAAGGATGGAACATATGAGCAATTTGGCATTAACTGGAAATATTACATGTGGAAACTGGAAAACTTGCAATCCATCTCAGGAAAGCAAAGCCAGGATTTACATTTATTGTGGGAGGGGGAGGTTAACAGCAACTTGTTGGATTATTGCAGACAACCAGTTCATATGACTTTGTTCAAGACCAAATGCCCAGGGAAGACTGCAAGAACAAGACACCCCTGTAAACATTAAACCTAAGAACTTTTTCCCAGCCTCCAACAATTTTTTTGACTCTGGGACTTCCTCAGCCACAGTTCTTTTGTTTTAAATGTCCTGGTTGGATTTTAGTTCTTTTCAGTTGTTCTAACACCCTTTGAAATCTTGGAAGTCCTCAGCATTCCAAACATCACATGCCAAGGGACATTTCTTCACATGAAAACCTGCCACCTAGTTTGACTTTTGCTGGTCCATGCAGGGATAACTGGATTGTTATACCATGACTCCTCAAAGGCAACCTTTGGAATTGGGTCCTGGGTTTGAGAAAATCTTCCAAAAGCCAAATGGGATTGCTATGCTTGATGCAAACAACACTGCACTTCTTGTCACATTTTGATGCTGTGGGGTTTTTTTTAGCTTTGGGTGTAGAATATGCATTTATCTTGCTCAAAAGTGCCGTATAACTGATTACTATGTTGTCATGTTTTTGCCTTTAAAGATCAATTTGCGCTACCATCATCTTAGCAACCGGCCAGAAGACTTTCAATAGGATTTGTGTGTGACTTATTTCTGTCTGCATCTGATCTTAACAAATTGCAAATATAAATCCTCTGCTTGGAATATATTGTTGTAAAGAGGAGCCGAGATTACACTGACGTGTTTTCTGTTCAGAAGTGTAAATCAAACCAGCTACTCAGCACCAGGAACTTCAGAGATCGACACAATGTCATCTCCAAGGAAATACATTTTATGGCGGGTTCTCTGACACGTGTAAACACTTTGGCTTGATGCCATTATAGAAATAAAGACATCTGCTACTGTATTAGATCCCCTATGGTATCTAAGAAATCCACAAGAGGCTGATGAAAATCCACTCTGGATCTGTGGAGACCCCTTAGGAGAGGAAGCCTGAGGCTAGAGAGTATACCAAGGAGCATCCCAAATATGCTAAGTCCTTATGTTGAGGCAAGTAAGGATATTCATAAACCATTAGGAGATCACAAGAAATCACATTTTTCAATAGCTGTCCTTTCAGCCATGGCACTAGGACTTTCTGTCCTAGGAGACTGTGGACGCACAGTATTGTCAAGTCCAAAAAACAAATAGAAAATTAAAAGATTACATGACCATAAATGGATGCAATAGGAAATACGAATGAAAGTATCTTCCAACTTCCACACAAATTGGTCAGGCTCCCTAACACTCCCTCACACTCATTTCTTTTCTCATTTGTTGGGGAGTGTGCATGGGGTTAGGTGGTCTGATCAAGTAAGGAATCTCTTATGTTCTTATATTCTGAACTGATAGTTGTGAAGGAGAGGAAGAGAGAACTCCTTGAGTAACCAGAAGATTATTTGAACATTATTTTAACTTTAGAAACTTTGATTCACAAATTATTTTAATGAGATGTCCTCTACTTTCCCTCCCCCATGCCAAAACTCTTTCATCTGTGGGCTCTCTGGGCTATTCTAGATAATCTTTCATTTCAAAACAGATTACCTGAGATCTTACACCAAAAAAAGGATTCCCTCCTGTTGCTAAAGCCTCTCCTTGTTCAGTTAGTTCACATATGATGTGGACAAATTATTGGCATTTAACTGAAAAATCTCTTTAATAAAACCATATTCATTCAGTGGTGTTCAGTGGCTAAGTTAGCCAAATGCTTCCAATTAATTTTCCCCTTAATTTGCAATGAAATTCTATAAAAAAAAGAACTATGCTCTTAGACAGAAGAAATGTTTCCCATTTTCACTCAATATGAAGAAGACAAGCAATAAAAATATACGACCAAATTGATATTAACTTTAGCATGGCCACACAATTTGTGCTGGCCAAACCACGGCTTTAAAAAAAAAGGAATTGCTGAGAATCACTAGTCAGTGGCTTAATTGACTTTTGGTGGCTTCAAAAGACCATGAACACAGCTAATAGTTTTTGGCAGTTCCGAAGGCATTAATCATGATCCATGTGCAATATTAAATAAGTCTCCTTCAAAATGAATATAAATTAAGACTGTAATTCCATCTCAGCCTTCTGGTGACATCAGGAACACACTTGAGTTTCACTCTCGTGGTTTACGATGTCCCCCGAAGCCTTTGATGGAATTATAGCCCTATTAAGTACAGTTGGGGTACATTATTCCTTAAATTATTGCAACTACAACTCATTATTCCCTCTAGAAATCAGAACTTGCTGTACTTCCATCAACCACGTAATCTTGAAGTGAGTTGGGGGGAATTTCATCATGGGAGGATATCTGCTTTTTAATTTCTATCACTACATTCACAGCTTGGTAGAGCTCTCAGCAACTAATATTACCAGCCCTCAAAAATCTTTGTTTTGTTTAAGGAACACTATTCACAGCAATATAATTGAGTCATCACTGATGTTTATATAGATTTTTATAGGAGATTTCAAATCAGTTTTTTGACCTTTTTTGTATAAGATCATTCGAACACCAATGAAATGAAGTAGAATTCAAAAAGATGGGGAAGATGGGGCTATACAGATAGACTTTTAGGGAAGTATGATAAAAGTGTTAATAACATTTCAGTAAAGACACATGCAATAATAACCTGAGTAAGAGAAAAGTGTAGTTTATAATACCAAACTAAATTTTGATTTTTATATCAGTTGCAGGACTAGTGTATGTAGTGCAAGTCAAATATTTCTATTATGGGCAGATCCAACTTGGCAGGAAATGGGCAGAAGTTCTGTGTAGCTAAAAGGAATGAAGCCATCTGGAAAAAAATGCACGGTGTTTATAAAGAACACTTCTAAGATGGGATTTTTTCCTATTTAATGGTAGTTTAAATCATCACAGCCTTATCAGTTTAGTTAGCTTTGTGTGTTTTCTTCTTCCAACAGTTTTCACACTGCCTAGGCTTTTAAATAGTGGCAAATATTATTCAGTGCTGCATGCTGAAAAGAAAATATGTTAAAGAAAAGCCCTTCGTGAAGCACATATATCATTAAGGCTGTAAGATTTCAGGGCTGTTATTCCCTGTGTCTTTTTTTTTTTTTTGTGTTTTTGTTCTTATTTTATATGCCATTTTGAGGACTATATCAAGTAGAAAGATTTCTACACCCTGTGGTCGTAGAACTTTTCCTACTGTAAAAAATATCTAGCTATAACTAAAAAGAAAAAAATTTGTCACTACATTGCATAGTTTATATAAAATTTTGTGGGCTCCTGGCAAAGATGGAGTCTCCTTTTTGAGTGAGTCTCGGAGAAAGAAGAATCTTTGGTTACTCAGAGAAGTTACAAAACTCATTTATTTCCATCTCCAACAATAGGTTGGAAAACGTGGCCTTGTACTAAAGAAACACGTTGAATGACATACTTAAATTCTAAGATGTTATATTATTAGGATTTTTAGAGTGGTTATATTTTCATGAGTACGTGAGTATAGCAATCCTGTTCCATCCCTGTGAATAATTCTGTCTTGAAAAGATATTTGCAAGATCTTTTAATAGTCATTGTTACTATTTCCAATGATTTTTGTAATAGAGTTCACATCTAAAATTTTAAGACGTGTGTACAAGTCTCTGAAGGATTACAATGAAAGTGATAATATTTGTCAAAAATGAGATCTGAAAAATGTAGCATGTTGGTTTAGCTTGGTTAGATTGATTATTATTCCAAATTCAAGGGCTTACAAATAATGCAAACTTAGTGCCAGTGTGGTTTCTCTGAGTTTGATTTTTTTTTTTATTGAAATAAAATTCACTTCCTGCAATCAGAGGAAAATTCTAGACAAAATGGCGTGGAAAAGAAAAGAAATATTTGAGGAATCAAAAAAGCCACGAGCTCTTCCTATGCTAAAGCATAGTTTATTTTGTAAATATTTCAAAAAGTTTTCATTTCACAGAATCACAGGACAGGGCAGGTTGGAAGGGACCACACTGGGTCATCTGGTGCAACCTCCCTGCTCCGGCAGGCTCAGCCCAGAGAGCATTGCTCAGGTTTGCATCCAGATGGGTCTTGAATATCTCCAGTCAGGGAGACTCCACACCCTCTCTGAGCAATCTGTTCCAGTGCAAGGTCACACACACTGTAGGGAAGTTCTTCCTTATTTTCAGATGGAACTTCCTGGGCCTCAGTTTCTGCCTGTTGCTTCTTGTCCTGTTGATTGGCAGCACCGAGGAGAACCAGGTCCATCCGGCACTCGGGGCTGTGAATTTCTGAGGATCAATATTTTTTAAATTCACGTGCAGGGCTTCCTCTGAAATAAATGGTGGCGTGAAAGTTATAAATCAACACACACAAATGGCCTGCTGTCTAAATCCATGGATAATTTGCAGGTGTGTACATAGTGGAGATGGTTGGCTCAGTAAAAATGATGTGTTCTGGCAGGTATTAGAATCATATTGAAAGACAGATAAGTACAACACACAAATTAACACATCACTATGGTGATGTAAGACTTGGTCTTCTTCTAATAAGACAAATGTGATGAAAAGGATTTTTCTAATATGTACAGCTCGAAAATATTTTACATCTGAACAATCAGAAAGTACTGGAGTAATGCCATAACCAGAGCTAATGTGTAAATTTCTGGGAAAGTAATGATCCATATTAAATTCCATGTGCCAGTTATAAATATCAGCAACAACAGAGAAAGTAGACATGTTTTATCAGTTGCATTCTTTAAATCTAATTATGCACTGCTTAGTATTATGAATGCACATAAATTTGCCTTTCAAGACTTACACGTTTTAGATCTAAAGCCCACTACAAAAGCATGCTGAGAGTCCCAGGGAAAGATGAGAGATAACAGGAAGTATTTCAAAGGAACTTTTCTATTTACAGTAGTCTTTTTATTTTTAAATGCAATTAATATGTTAAAGAATTAGACATATAAATACCACCAGATGTTCAAAATGTATCTTCAGCAAGAATACACAAATAAATTATGGTTGGCCAGACAGAAGACACCCTGAAAGTGATATTCACAGGACTGTCATGGTGATAGCTGCAATGGATAACATTTTTCAGGACAGATTGTTATGACTGTATATTTGTCAATTTAAGTTTAGCCCCCCTGAAATTCCACTAAAGTAACTAATAAGGTTGGGTGAAATATATTTGTGTCCTTAAAAAGAAATTTAATTGTGCCTTCACTTTTCGAAGCTAATTGTGATAAGTCAGCCAAAGAGAGAGAGAGACTAAGGTCACCATGACACAAATATTACCAGAGATGTCAAAGACCTAAGTTCAGGACCTTTTTTTCCAAACTCAGCACAAAAAATGAAACTTGGTCTTCTGGTCCCAAATATGTGACCAAGTTATGGTGCTATTTTTTTTTCAATGGTACTTTGAGAACATTTAATTAAAGGAATCTTCATTAATAAGTCTTCTGCATATGCCAGACTCTAAGGATGGAAGTTATTTTGTAAGACACAGCCTGAGAGAAGTATTTACTTTGATTTTTGCAGAGCTGTAGTAAGACATCAATTTACTTCTACTGTAGTCTGGAATTTATGAGAATTTATGAGATTATTGCTGAGTAACTTGCTCAGGGAGGGGATTTAAAAGCTGGATGGATTGGAGGATGGATGGATGGATGGGTTCCAGTAACAGCAATCCCCCAGGGTTGCCTTGTCAGCTTTCCCCGTTATCTGAATGTTCAGCTTTCACTAAAACCTAACTCACCTTGTAATTCTGAAAGACTGGTAACCTCTATCACACAGGAATCTGCTTCTTCCAGGCACTGACCTGAAAGCAGTGCTGCTGCATCCTCCCCATGCTCTTGCAGGCTCTTTAGTTCCTTTTGTGCCACTAACAACAAACAGATTTGTTAGTTTTTAATTACTGAGAACTGTGTATTTTGGCAATGCAGAGGAAGATGTTGCTTGGTTTTATGCTTCTGGAGTGTTATAGGGTTCCTAAAGAGCTGAAGCTTTCCAGGAGTACTTATTGTAGGATTCACAATTTTTGCAGGGAGAAATAATGGCTTTTCAATTTCCAAGTGCCCCTTCCATCATTAAAGTTTCATCATAACCCTATATTCTTCAACTGAACTCATTTTGTAAAGTAAACACACAGAAAAACACCCCTCCCCCTTTGATCAAACACTGTGGTTTGCTTGCTTGTGTGGGCAATGCATTGCAAAATTTATCCCATTGTTCCATGCTAAGCTGTAAATTTGAAAATATGATTATTTAAAAGTTTCAGTACTGATGTACAGGGTATGGGTTTAACATCCTGCATATTAAAAAGTGAATTTGAGACATTTGGTGAATCTCAGTCATAGTGATACAATTACACATTTTATCTCCTTTTTAGTTCAACATATGGTTCCATTATGAACACTGTTAGTAGTTTTCTGGTTTTTTTCACCAAATTAAAATAAAACAAAGAAAAAGTAGAAATTGTAAACTTAGAGTTGAAGTTACTTCTCAACCAATGAAAAAACTATTTTTAACAATCTTGAGATTTTAAAAGCTTCTCAGGTAGTCTCCTATTTCTGCCCTGGCTGTGTGAGGGATCCCTAGCAGAAGAGAAGCTGTACAAAAACCAAACTCATGTCCACTGTGACCAGGAATGTATCCCAGACATTAGTCAACCTGTTTGAAACAAGTACTGACACAGGCTGATTCCTCTGGAAATGTGATTCAAGTGTTTTCAGTCTGAGTACCTACTGATATTTTTTAAAATGTGTGCTAATGGTTAGTTTATATCACTGTATCATCAATATATATAGCTGTAGTGGGCTCTAATGTGTGATATTGTATATGTAATACACACATATATGAGCAAATACAGAAGAATCACTTCACTAATCAGAATTTTTCTTTAGTTGCCAATTTTGAACCACCTCTCTAGCTCCAAACAAGTATCTATTCAGCAGGTTGTGACAATGCCAAAGAAAACTGTAGCATAGAAATTAAAGGTTGTTGAAGAAAGAGACAATTTTTTATGGTTTAGGGATCTTCCAAGGTGATGAATTAATGTGAATATTGATATGATGTTAAAATTTTCATTTCATTATTTTATAAACTCAGTTCAGCATTTTTCTTTATGAGAGAAATCGTTGGAATAAGGTGCCCAAAAATTGCTCTCAACATTGATGCATCACCATCTACTTTAATATGGCCCTAGGCTATGCACCTTTAAGCAGCTCACAGAAACTTCTGGGTTTGTGAGTGTAATTATGGGCATGTAGTGAATACAGATTCATTTTATACAGGTGTTTTTGTTCTAGCTTGTGAATATCCACCTCTTCATCAACTTCACAGAGAACCTGAAGATAAACATGTCACAGAAGTTTAATGGTTTGAATGGAAGCAAGAAGAAATAGTTAAGCAGTGACCATCTACAAAACTCCTGACAATTTTTATTTTTAAAATACCCATCTTGTTCGTAAAAACTCGTGATTCTGAAGAGAAAGAACAAAAGGGCTAAGTCCAAGTTAGCAGGAAATATGTAAAAGATGCTATCCTTACCATATCCAAAGAAGTAAGAAAATCTGTGTAGAAATATCCATACTAATGAATTAATTTGAAGGATTGAATGGAAGAAATCTTTATCTGGTTGTACACCACAACAGATATGATTCCTGCTGAATCTACAGATCTTGCAAATGAAATTACTGTAGGTAGATGGATCCATCTCTTAATAATCCCTCTATAGTGTCTTTTCAGTTTAAAAAATGTTACAGAGGCTGTTCTATATATGGCATCAGTTTGATAGCTGACATAATTAAATTAGGTTTGCAGAGAGGGGTTTTTTTTGTTGTTGCTGTTGGTTGTTTTCTTTTTGTGCAAGTTCTAATACTGACCTACTTCCCACAGGTGTTTAGAATCTGTCATCAAGTTTTCTGCTGAGTTGGCTTCGTTAATTTTAGTGAAAATGTAGCTTCTAAAAGATGTGTTCCAGAAAGCACATCTCTGCAGTATTTTGGAAGGGCATCCTGGGCCTCCTCCTGTTACTCATGGGTAAGTAATACAAAGACAAGACCTGGAAGTGTGATTGTTTTCCAAATGCCATGATAATACATGACCTTCTTTGTTTATTTATGTAAAATAGGGAGGGTAAAATAGATTTTTTAAAAAATCAAAATAATTGATAGTGGGTTAGAAGACTACACTTTCCAGTAGTCTGTTTATCCCCACAGTTGCAATTTTCGTGTGCCAAATTAATGCTGAGCTCTTTCTTCACTTATTAAGCTGAAATTCCTGCTTTACAAAGGGAAAAAATCAATCTAGGCATTCTACTCAGTATATTTTAGAAATGATTTGAGATCTGGTGTGATTTTATGAGATTGAAATAGGAAAAAGAGTGAATTTTACATAATGTGAATGATTAAAATAGCTCAAAAAAAAAAAAGCATAGATATTGCCTGATATAACAATGTGTTGCACATCTCATGTTTTGAACATTTAAGTTCTAGTTTATGGATTCTGTCAGCAGGGAATCTAATGTTAAGCAATATGTTTTAATGGAGTTGCTGTTGTACTTCTCTAATGGGGAGATTATAAAATTATAATTAGTGTAATCCTGCCTCTATTACATCAAATGACAAAAATGCCATTTACTTCAGTGGAAACAATATTAATTATGCTGCTGTAATTAACCTTCTTCATCCCTCTTTCAAACTTTCTACTCTCAAATAACCGTGGAGCACTTTACAGCTGGCAACAGAGACTAGGGACAGATAAAAGAAAACAAAAGAAGCAGATGTAGTTGGTATCAGTGAACAGAGAAACTCTACCACAGGATCCTCAGGAAGGGAGGTTAGAAAACAGGCTAAAATGAACAGGAAAGGGGAGCATCCTGCTTTTCACAGCCTTTGCAGCATCTCTCAGGAATTGTACTGATAAATTGTGCACAAAGTTTCTTTGTGTGTCTTGCTGGAGTCAGCAAAGCTTTTCTGTGAAAAATGTAATGGATGGGGAGTGGCACTGCTGAATAGTAAAAAAAAAGAATAAAAAGAAGCAAGACACCACTATTGATCAATATGGCAATGTTACTGACTGTGCTAGTACAGTTAATGTGCTGTTCAGAAACCTCTATTCTGAAGAGGGTAAAAGCAAAGTTGTAACTTGCTTTCTCTGTACACAGTTAGGGAAAAGTAGTTCAGAGACTTAACAATAAGTTAGGAATTTCACTTCAGATTTACTTCCGGTTGCTGATTCCGCAGATTAATTTTCTTGCAATTCACAAAATGATCTGCCTGCTGTGAAAAATAGGTTAAAGACAAGATTTACTTAGTGACTGTGTACACTCTGATTTGGTCTTCGTCTCACTCACAGGAATACATTTTCTCTGATGTGCTTTCTTTTTCTTTGTTTGGATCTCTCTCACAATTTGATCCATATCTTCAAATGCCCAAAGTACTGCAGGATCAATAGGGTATTGAAAATACAATACTCTTCCAGGATGGAACAGCTGAAGACATATTAAGGTAAAGGGTACATGTAAATCCATGTGCATTTTCTCCTTTCACAAAGCCCAATTTAAATGAGTGGTAAACTGAAGAGCGGCCAAAGCAGCGACCTCTTAAACCCAGTCAGTGGTGAAACCGTGGGGTCAAATCACGCTCTGACAAGAAAATCGAGCAGGGCTTTCACCTGAGGATGAGAATGCTCATCTGCAAGGGGAGAGAATCTCAACACCTATGAATATTTATGCATTTTGTACAATTATTGTTGAATACGGAACGCGAACGTTCATTAGTGCAGGAACCGAAACCCCACTTTCCCTCATCCGAGGTAACTGTTCAAATCATTAGACTCCAAGGTCACATCCAACCCTCGGTGAAGGCAATGAATATTTCACTCTGCCACACCAAGTGTAACAACTCCTGCAACAGGGAAACAAGGAACCTGAGCCACTTTGAATCTAAAATCCTCTAAATTCACATATTTACTGGGTTTTTTTCAGTTGTTTTTTGTTGCGGTTTTTTTTTTCCCCCCCAAAAAAAACCATTTGGCCACATATGTTTATGCTCCCAACTTGATGACTGTAAAATGTGTATGTTTAAATTACATATAGCTTTTATATTTTCTTTAGCTACCAGTGTCATTATTCAAATATGAAAATATATCAACCATATGTAGCAACCACTCACATATAATGTTGGACTATATGATAAAGATATATGAACAGTATTTAGTCTTGGCAACATAGTTACATTATGACTCTGAATCCATAAAAAAATTAATTAGTTAGCCCAGAAGCTGCATTCTCTCTGAACAAACAGTGCAGGTCTAAATATATCTGATTATGTGACCAGGGTAGTTGCACACTGTTTCAATCAGCATTCTTCTTGCCTTTATTCAGAATCTTCACAAAAATTAGCCGTGACTTTCTGCAGATCACCACTATTTCATTAACCTTGGCTGGAGTTTTTTTTTGAAATATTTTATTTCTGTATTTCAAGACATGTCCTTCAAGTTACTCCATGTAACATATTCCAGATTTTGGGAGATTTGATTGGCATTTCAGTTTTAGTATATTTATAGTAACTATGGTTTAGCCATGGGTTAAATCATGGAAATGTAGACTAGAGTTCTCTCATAACTTTGTGTCTTCCTTTTACAAACAATTTAGGAACTCCTATTTGTTATCATTTCTTTGGACAATCAAATGTCCAAATATCTTTGAAACATTTTAATTATACTTATGAAAATGTTACCACTAAAAGTACATTTAAGAAAATATACACACATGACTCTATTCATGCATGTTTGTATCAATGCTTATATTTAGAAATTAATTTAAAGTAGAATAAAATCAGTGAATAGTTTTCAGTTTCCCATCTGCATTCATTAAAC